CACACCATGGAGTCACCAGGGCAGGCACAGCCTGAGAGCTTCTGTTCATCCCATAGTCACTCAGAGCAGTGCACAGCCTGCTCACCACAGAAAACCTCCAAATGTCATAATTCTGTCAACCCCTACAATTTTATGAGTCCCTGTAACTTCTCTTCTCCACCCCAGGCCACTTTGCCCGCTCTCATGTAAAAGGTCAATCTTGATATGGCTGCCTGTTTTCGCAGGAGATTTCAAATCAGATTTCTCACTGTGATCTTGGCCTTCTGACCTCTTTAACTTCTCTGAATTTAAATGGAACATACCTATATGGAGCCCTTCAATGATGGGGGCCAAGCAAGGGCTCTCTCTGTCCCACCCAGCCTTCCACAGTGCTGTACCATGGGCCTAATTTTACTCATCATTTTCCATTTTTGATCCCACTTTTTGATAACTGTCTAATGAAAACCAGTCTGCTGGGATGAGTACCTTTTTCTCTCTCAGTTTCAGTCCTGTGGGTGTTGATTTACATTACTTTTTTTTTTCTTAAGGTGAATTTTTAAAATTTTTTTAGTTATAGATGGACACAATACCTTTATTTTATTTTTTTTAATGTGGTGCTGAGGATGGAACCCAGTGCCTCACACATACTAAGCAAGTGCTCTACCACTGAGCCCCAGCCCCAGCCCTTAATAACAGAAAGTTCTGCCTTCCTGGGAGGAGCCATTGCCTATGCCCTMGCCTTTCCCCATCCTTTTGTTAATCACCTCAAGCTCATTACCATAGAGTATAGCTCAGCTTTGCAGCAGTAAGTTCACACAGGAGTCCCTGAAAAGGAGCCCCTAACTGCTACTCTTACTGCAATCTGGGCAGTGGGCACATTTGGCAGGTAAAAATCCTGGTCATCCTAAAGCCAAGCATTTACCTTGTCTACAAAACTATTTTATCTGGAGTGTTCCAACAATAGGGGGTGTTGACAAAATAATTCTGCTTTAAGAGAAATAAATGCAAGTTATAAAGGCCCAGGATTCAAGCTACTCAGAATGACAAGCTGCACTGTTGGAGAGGAAACAAACAGAGCAAATGAGTCATAAATCAGTATTGTCACTAGGTACATGGCTGGGGTCATCAGGTAGGTGGGCCACAGCGAGGCAGGGAAGTCTCTCCTGCAGGACGGAGGTGTTCTCCTAGGGTCTTTTGGCTGGTGGAGGCTAGAGGTCTGCTACAGGGAGTACTACCTCCTGGGAAGTTGGTGCTGGGAGGAGGCCAGAGGCACAAGGTCAGTGAATGRCTGTGAAAGCACTGCAGAGGCACCCACCCACAGAGCCAAAGGGGTAAGGGGTTCCCAGCCACCAGTTCCCATGATCTCAAGAAGAACTTCAAATAAGTCTCAAAATTAACAGCAGGAGTTTATTAAAAGAGTAAGAATACAGTGCCCTGGTGCACAGCTGCAATCCCAGTGACTCGGAGGCTGAGGCAGAAGAATTGCAAGTTCAAAGCCAGCCTCAGCAACTTGGTGAGGCCCTAAGCAACTTGATAGACCCTACCTCAAAGTAAAAATAAAAGGGCTGGGGATGTGGCTCAGTGGTTAAGTACCCCTGGGTTCAATCCCTGGTATAAAAAAAGAAAACAAAAAGTTAGAGTACAGACATTTAGGCACCAAAGGGGTTGTCCAGGGAGAACTAGCCCTTGCAGAGCCAGGATTTTTAAGGATTTGGGTCCCTTTGCTCTAGCTTTGTTTTTTCTTTCCCCTAGGTGGCTTATTACCCCTCTGTTGAGCCTTAAGCAACTTTTCTTTGTGAGGGTCCTGATGACCTGGTTACAAGGAGAGGGTTTGAGGACTGGTCACAAGGGACAGGTGTGATATGGTCTTGAAATAATAGTTCCCTTAAGGGTTATAATTAAGTGTGCCTGTGGAGGATTGGCATACTAGTTCCCATTTTCCGGTTGCTTGTCTGCTTTGTGAAGTTTTTATTACCCTAGTCCTGTGGCCTGTGGACTCTTGGGTGCACATGTCTGAGGTCCCCCTGTAAGCTATTGCAGTTGACTGTCCTCCCTACCCACCTGCTCATGGCTAAACTGTCTACCTAATACAAGGACTTAAGCCAGCCCAGGTTGGGGGCTGGGGCTGGGGCTGGGGCTGGGGCTGGGGCTGGGGCTCAGTGGCAGAGCGCTTGCCTAGCATGTATGAGGCACTGAGTTTATTTTGGGCTCACAATTTCCAAGATTCAGTCCGTGGTTGGCCAACTCCAGTGCTCTGGACTCAAGGTGAGGCAGACATCATGGTGGAAGGGCAGGTTGAGGAAAGCTGTTAATCTCATGGCAGCTAGAAAGCAGTGAGGCGGGGGAGGGAGGGAGGAAGATGTTGTCCAGGCCATGCCCTCAGTAACCTAGTTCCTCCAGCCAAGCTCCACCTGACATTTACCACTCAGTAATCCATTTAAATTATTAACCCCGACGTGATTCTGCAATCTGCATTTGGGGTAAAAATTGGGAGTTCATAACCCACTTCAATCTAATGTATGAAATATGATATGTCAAGAGCTTTGTAATGTTGTGAACAACCAATAAAAAAAAAATAAAAAATAAATTATTAACCCATCAAATGGATTAATCCACAGATGAGATTAAAAGTCTCATAATTTCACCACTGAACATTCCTGCATTGCCTAACACATGAGCTTTTGGAGGCACATTAAAAATTCAAACCATAATAGCAAACAAGTGGATGAAGGGGTKGTATGTGCTAGGTAGTGGCACATGCTAGGTAGGTAGGTTGGTGATGTGTCTGGGTGTGGGGGTAGGTAGCAGCCCATGCCTATGAGGACCACTACCTTCCAGGGAACCTGTGGCCTCCTGGTAGACCTGATCCTTGGTCCCTCTGTCCCCAGGGTTGATAAGCTTGTGGATGGAGCTGGGGACTTCTCTGAGTTCCTTGAGTGGCAGAAGAAGATGCAAGCAAAGGACCAGGAGGAGCAGCTGGCTGCAGGCGAGTGCCGGCGGCTACAGGGGAAGCTCAGCCATGAGGAGGCCATCCTGGCCCGGCAGAACCTCATACAGGAAAACAAGCAGAAGGCAGACCAGAAGAAAGAGGAGGTGATGTGCCACATATGAGCAGCTGGGATCACGGGGCAGCTGAGCTGTGTGACCTCAGGAGCCATGGGCCATGGTGGGCAGAGAGCTGAAGGCCTGTGCTATTGCTGCAGCCTGGCAGTCCCTGTGCCATTGGCTCCCAGGCTAATCCTAGGTCATTTCTTTCCAAGACCCATAGGATGGACATGGTTTCTCTGTACCTTCCCCAGCAGGCAAGTTTCAGGAGTTTCATGTCACCAGGGCTGAGAGGACTATCAGGCCATTCTGCTCTAGGCTGCCTCCCACTCCCATCAGCAGGGAGATTGGATCCATGGATCCTTGGGTGCCCAGGGGAAGCCCTGAGATTCTGGCAAAACCTTCTAGTGGTGGACACCTTTGCATGTAACATGTTTGCTCTGCGGGGGGAGGGGACTTGTGGGTGTCCAGGTTACCACTTTAGAAGACCTGATGTGCCAGTCCTGGCTCTTTCTCCACCAAGGACAGACTATCTAGGTGAATGCTCCCAACCTGCATCCCCTGTGTGCTTGTGCCTACCAGTGTCTCCCAGATGTGCCCAAGGAGGGCCCCCACTGGCCTCATAGGTCCAATTTGTAGCCATGTYTCTCCTCAGATGTGTCCCACTGAGTCCCTGAGGTCAGAGGACACGCTCTCCAAGATCACCCAAATTACCTCTTTTTTAAAAGAATATTTTTAGTTATAGTTGGACACAATACCTTTATTTTATTTATTTATTTTTTATGTGGTGCTGAGGATCGAACCCAGTACATCACACATGGTAGGCAAGTTCTTACCATTGAGCTACAACCCCAGCCCCAAATTACTTCTTTTGTTAGACCCATTTTTAACTGTTTGCATTCAATTTTAAGATTCGCTTTTTCTAAGCCAGACCTAGTAGTGCACACCTATAATCCCAGCAGCTGGGGAGACTAAGACAGGAGGATCCCATTAACCAACTCATGTAACCAAATCTCATTATTTATATTTACTATCGTGTTATCAATAAAAATAGGACTAGCTCCATTTCACCTTTGAATTCCAGAAGTTATTCAAGGAATTCCGCTTATATCAAGACTAATTCTACTAACATGACAAAAAATCGCTCCAGTCTCCATTGTATACCAAATTGCACCACCTATTAATTCTCCTTTAATATTATCTATRGCAATTTTATCCATCATGTTAGGAGACTGAGGAGGACTTAATCAAACTCAACTAGCAAATTCTAGCAAGGGGCTGGGTTGAGGCTCAACTGTAGAGCACTCATCTCGGGTTCAATCCTCARCACCACGTAAAAATAATAAGTGAAATAAAAAGTATTGTGTCCAACTACAACTAGAAAATAAAAAAAATCTAGCATACTCATCAATTGCACATATAAACTGAATAATAGCAATTATTACATTTAATCCTACTTTAACTATGTTAAATCTAATTGTTTACATTATACTCACAATTAACATATTTATATTGTTTCACTATWACAAAAAAACTACCACCCTATCCCTCTCAAATATATGAAAGAAACTCTCCCTTCTAACTTCGACAACTCTCATTATATTAATATCACTAGGAGGACTTCCACCCCTAACTGGGTTTACCCCAAGGTGAATTATCATTAAAGAACTCATATCAAATAATAACATTACTTTACCAACATTAATAGCAGTTATAGCACTCCTAAATTTATTTTTCTACATGCAAACCAGAGTTCAAAGCCAGCCTCAGCAATTTAGTGAGGTCCTGTCTCTAAATAGAATATTAGAAAGGGCTGGGGATGTGGCTCAGTGGTTAAGCACCCCTGGGTTCAATCCCTGGTACCAAAAAAAAAATAAAAATAAAAAAGTGAAGATTGGCTTTTGCTTTCCTTTAAGTTTATTTTATTTACTTATTTATTTGTACTGGAGATCAAAGCCAGGACCTTTCTAGTGCTAAACACTGCACTCCTCCATTGAGCTTAACCCCTAGTGGGGGATTGCTTTTTTGGAAGTTTTAAGATGACAAATGGGTGTAGGACTATTCAAACAATCTACTTCATATTAGGTAAGCTGTGACAGTTTGCATATTTTGAAGAATCAATCCATTTGACAAAGTCGAATTTATGTGTGTAGAAGTTGTGTGTGATATTCTATTACCATCCTTTTATGTCTGTAGGGGCTGTAATGATAAAACTTGTTTTGTTCCTGGTATTCCCAATTTGTATCTTTTTGCTTTTGATCTGCAATTCTTGTTTAGAGATTTTCAATTTTACTCATCCTTCCAAAGAGTTGGCTTTTTGTTTTGATGATTTTCTCTATTGTTTTGCTGTTTTAAATTGGTTTCTGATCTTCACTTCCCTCTGTTTGCTTATTTTGTTCTTCTTCTAGGCTCTTGGGATGGGARATTAGGTTACTGATTTGAGAATTCTCTGCCTTTCTATTGCAAGCACTTGGTGATATGCATCACCTTTGATTTACTGATTTAGCTATGTCTTGCTAATTTTAATGTATTTTATGTTCATTCACTTTGACACTTTTTTTTCCATTTCACTTGAGATTTCCTCCATGAATTATTTAGAAGTGAAATGTGTATTGTATGGATTCCAAACATTTGGAGATTTTCCTGTTGTCTTTCTTTTTTTAAATATTTTTTTTATAATTGTAGTTGGACACAATACCTCTATTTTATTTATTTATTTTTATGTGGTGCTGAGAATCAAACCCAGGGCCTCCCACATGCCAGGCGAGTGCTCTATGCTGAGCCCCAGCCCCAGCCCCAGCCCCTTTCCTGCATCTTTCTATTATTGATTTTCTTTCCTTCCCCTCCCCACCCCCATACTGGGGATTGAACCCAGGAGCAGTCAATCACTGAGCCACTGAGCTACATTCCCAGTCTTTTTCATTTTTGTTTTTAGGCAGGATTTTGCTAAAGTTTCTGTGGCTGGCCTCAAACTTGTGATCCTCCTGCACCAGTTCCTGAGATTATGGGTGTGTGTCACCACGCAAAGCAGGATGTTGTCTATCTTGCCATGTTTTATGTGAAACACTTCAAGAGAACACATACTCTGCTTGCTGTCATTGGATAGTTCATGGACATTGACTGGCTCCTGCTGGTTAGCACTTGTTTTAGTCAGCTTTTTCACTGCAGGGACAAGAAAATCATAGAAGGAAAAGTTCATTTTGGGGCTAACAATTTCAGAGGACTCAGTTCCATAGACGGCCAGCTTCATTCCTCAGGGCTGTGGAATGAGGTGCGTAGTGAAAGCAGAACATCATGGCGGAAGAATTGGTGGAGGAAAGAAGCTCAGGACATCACACCAGGACACAGAGACGGAGCTCTGCTCTTCACAGAAAAAAACATATACCCCAAAGGCACACCCCCAATGATTGCCTCCTCCCACCACACCTTACCACCTACTGTTACCACCCAGTTAATCCCTATTGGGGGATTAATTCACTGTTTGGGTTAAGTCCTTGTAACTCAATCATTTCACCTCTAAATTCTTGCATTGTTTCACACATGAACTTTTGGGGGACACCTAATATCTAAACCATAACAATAGTGAATTTTTCTGTGCATCTGCTGACTTTCTGTCTAGTTGTTATATCAGTTGTTGAGGAGAGGTGTTACAATCTCCAGTTGTGACTGTGAAATTATCTCTTCTTCTTTCTGCTCTATTGGATTTTGCTTCACATATTTTGTAGCTCTGTTGTTTGGTGCATGCMTATTTAGAATTGGTGTCTTCCTGGTCTTGACCCTTTTATTATTATCTAATAACCCTCTCTGTCTCCAGCARTTTTCTTTGCTCTGACGTCTATTTATCTGATATTAAAGCTCTGCTTAATGGTTAATGTGTGCATGATATATATTTTCTATCCTTTTTACTTTCAATCTGTCTATGTGATTATATTTGAAGTTTCTTGTTTTTTAATCTGCTAATTGCTGCTATTAATTGATATATATTCACCAGTTACATGTAATTAGTTATTTTGCTAGGTTTAAGCCTGCCACTTTTTGTTTTGTTTATTCTACTTTTTGTTTGTTTTTCTGTTTTTGTTGTCTTTAAATGGCAAATTTTTTTCAGAATTCCATTTTGATTTAGTTATGGTGTTTATATAATTATAGTACATCTCTTTACTTTTTTATTGTTTCTCAAGATAGTGCATTATATACTCATGTGTTGATCAGCTTTCTGTTACTGCAACAAAATATCTGTGATTACTTAAAAGGAAGAAAGGTTTTATTTGCCTCACAGTTTTGGAGGTTTCAGTCCATGGTTGGTTGGCCCCATTACTTTGGAGCCTGTGGCAAGGTTGCACATCACAGCAGGAGTGTGCCATGAGGTGTGGACCAAAGCTGCTCATCTCATGGGGGCTGAGAAATAAAAGATAGAAGAAGAGAAGGAACTAGGGTCCCACTTTCCCCTTTGAGGGCATGTATCTAATGACCTGACTTCCTGCCACCAGGCCCCTCCTCCTGAAGGTTCCACAGTCTCCCAGTGATACCACAGGCTGGGGGACCACTCTTCAACACATGGCCCTGGGGACACTCCAAACCCAAAATACAGCAGCACAGGACATAGTCTACACGTGGTGTCATGTTACATCCCTTGCCCTCCCCTTTTTATAGAATTGTCTGAAATATTTCCTTTCCATACATTTAGAGTCACATCAGACAGCATTATGATTTTTGCTTCAACCACAGACGTAATTAAGAAGGCAGGAAAGAAGGAAGACTCTGTATGTACCTGTGTTTGCTCCTGACATTCTTAYTTCCTGATGTAACAAGAGCTCTCTTTTAATCACTCTTTTTTGTGTAAAGCACCTTTAGCCACCCCAGGTAGTGGGGGAGAGGCTCTGTTCACACCAAGGGTGGGTGGAAGTCCAAGTTCCATGGAGCCCCCAGGTCTCTGTGCAGGCTTCTCTGCTACCACCTTGCGGCTGGTGCACCTTAGCTCAGCCTGGTGAGTGTCCAGCCCAGGCTCCCCCTCAGTCTTCTCTGATGGGGATGAGGTGGACCACACAGCATTCTATGCAGTCCTCCTGGAGTTGGAGGTTAGGTTCTAGAGTTATCCTGTCCTTGCAGGCTGCCCTTTCCCTGGTCTTTTGGTAGAGAAAGCGGCAGACGTCGGTGGGTTTTTTTAGTTTGCACCTATTGGCATTACTATGTTGACAGCTCCACTGGCACCAGAAAACCCAGAGAACTCACACTCTGTGAGGTTTCAGGCCTGCGGCTCCTGGGCAGTCTGCCTTCTTTTCCCCTTTCAGAGTCTTCCTATGTTTATATTAGAGACAGCAGCCAGGGGTGCTGGTGTCTCTAATGAGAGAGTCAGGTAAAAGTGCCCTCCATCTTCCCAGAAGTCCCCAGTGTTGAGTTTTAAGAACAGCTTTTTCAGCAGCTGCACATATAATTAATTGTATTTTCCCCTCCCTAGTGCATCATTTTGATCATTTCTCTCTTTCTCTCTCTATTTTTTTTTTTTTATACCAGGGATAGAACCCAGGGCCTCAGGCATGCTAGGCAAGTGCTCATTTGCTTCACATATTTTGTAGCTCTGTTGTTTGGTGCATGCATATTTAGAATTATGCATCCTCACATCCTTAGCCCAGTAATTTCTTCCTGTCAATTCACCCTTGCACTCCTGAGGTTAATCCCTATGACATTCCCTGGAGTTTGAAAGCCACAGAGAGGAGCCTAGACCTATGTGGAAGCCGAGAGGTGGTGCAGGGGCAGGAGGGCAGCACTGCAGCAGCAGCCAGRCACTCTCCTTGCCCAGACCAGAGAAGGACCTGAAGAACCTCCTAAGTTGCCTTATGAGGGCCACCTGGAGGGACATAGCCCATCAAAGCAGGGCCCTGGAAGCCAGAGCTGGGAGCAAGAAAGGTGCAGTCTGGTGAGAGGCTTTGTGGGGCAGGAGCACTGTGATCAGGAGACCCCAACATGGCTTCTGTCATCCTTAACTCCTTAACAATGAGAATAATCAGTCATGTCGAATAAAGCTTTTTAACCCATGGGCACAGTGGGTTGAATGCAGAGCGCCTGTGCCAGTGTCAACAGCAGGTCCACTGGGGAAGAGCCTTTGCAGGCCAGTTGTCATGGGGACTGTTGTGTAGACACATTTTACCAAGCGTTAGCCCATTTAGTTTGGCAGCACTTGCGGCACTTTTCCACTTGGCTCTGGTCACGTAAATCCTGTCCAGCATGTTCTGGTTTTGTTTTGTCTTGCTTTGTTTTTGGAGCTGGGAATCCCAGCCCCGGCCTTGTGCGCACTAGACAAGTGCTCTGCCACTGCAGGGGCCTGAACATGTGGGGCCAGCTCCACGCGCAGCCCTAGTGCAGTGGCACTCTGTGGTAGCAGGATGAGGTCTGCGGGACCTGATGGACCTCCAGACAGGGACCGGGGACGCACGGCAGGCTGCTGGCCTCTGAGCAACTCCAGGCAGAAGGTGGTCCTGGGCTTCCTTCAGATGCAGTCAGGCATCGATCCTGGCTTGGGCCAGCTGTGGCTCTCGCTAACTCATCTGTGGTGACCTCAACCTCACTGCCAGCCTGGTCAGGTGGCTGCACATTTATGGCCTCTGCCCTGTGCTCTCCTTTCTTCTCCCTGACGCTGTACTGATGCCCATGCTGCCACTGAGAGGGCAGTGAGCCCTTGCCCCATTCTGTGTGCTGTGCTCCATGCTCCGAGGAAGGGATACGGCCTCTGATTTCCCAGCAAAGACACTGAAAACCCCCCAAATTTTTAAAACAAAAATTTTAATTAAAAAAAAAAACTGAAGGCTGGGAATATAGCTTAGTTGGTAGAATGCTTATTTCTCTGCACCATTAAGAAGGAAGGAAGGAAGGAAGGAAGGAAGGAAGGAAGGAAGGAAGGAAGGAAGGAAGGAAGGAACTGAAGCCCAGGAAGACCCAGAATTTACCTGAGGTCACACAGCTGGTCAAGGCTAAGGGAGATAGAACTGAACATCCAGGAAGTTTTGCCCCCAAGTTAGTGTCTTCTCCAAGGATGTGAGCCACTTCCCAATTCTGTGGCATTTATAACAGGTGAGAGGCACTGCTTGGCCAGAAATCTCCTCTTTCTTACTCCCACACGAAACTCTTGCTGTCTCCCTGCTGTGGAGTGATCTCCAGCCTTTGGTTGCCCGTCCCTGACAGTGTGGCCAAGCTGGGGAGCCACAGAACCAGGCACCTTTGGTCCCTCTCTACCTCCTTGAGAGAAGCCACTTTTTCTCTTCATCTCCTACTTCCACATAAGCATTTCTCTGACGTGTTACAAAATTTCAAAAGTGGTGCTGGGGGTGCAGGCTAGCAGTGGAGCATGTGCATAACGTGTGCAAGGTCCTGGGTTCAATACCCACAATAACAACAAAATTATTTTCTAATTCCTTTTTCTTTTTTGGTCCCAGGGGATTGAACCCGAAGGCTGAGCCCCTCTACAGTAATTTTTTTAAAAATAAACCTTTCACTTTAGGACAGACCTAAGATTTACAGAAAAGCTGCAAAGGTTCTGTATCCTCCCCACCCTGCTGTCTCCGTTCTGAGCATTTATTTTACATTACCATATGCACTCTGACTCCAGGGCAGCCCAGACCGGGTGGCTTAACAAATTCAGCCCCAGGATCACACAGGGAGGGAGGAAGATGTCAGGGGGACTTCTCCAACCTTAAGAGGACCCCCCAGAAACTGCCAGCCCTGGGGTGCCAGGGCAGGCCTGGGTCAGGATGGGAGGAGAGCCTGGTTGGGCTCTGACAATGATGAGTCCTCTGAGCAGACAGCTGAGCTGATGCTGCAGTGTGCCGAGAGGAGGCTCAGAGAGGCCAAGTCCATGAAGGAGCTGGTGGAACAAGTGACAGAGGCACAGAAGAATGTCAAAGTGGCTCAGATGAAGCTTGTGAAGGGCCGACGGCAAATAGGTATGGCAAGGAGCCAGGTTCCTGGAGGTCTGCTTGGCTCCATTCTTCCCTGCTTGGGTCCTAGGCCAGCATCCTGCTGAGTGAGCTGCTGTGGTCACTGGAGGGTGGGCTGGGACTGGACAGGTCCTCCCAGGATGACTCACTTGGTCAGAAACTGAACATGAAATTCYCAGGGGGAGGTGGATTCTGTCCAGTGCCATCCAGGCACTCTTGGATGCCCTCAGCACTCTGTTTGGTCCCCAAGTTCAGGAGGTAATGGAGGAGAGCCGGGAGATGCTGCAGCGAAGTTCARAGGCAGCCAGGGAGGAGCAGAGGCGTCGCTGTGAACTCATCTCGCAGCTGCGTGCACTGGAGACACAGCCCACACGCAAGGGCAAGCTGGTGGACCTGACCCAGGTGAGGACACAGCCCCCAGAACTCATACCCTGCGTGATTCTCTGTGCTGGGAACAGCAAGTCCAGAATTCCCACCAAGCCAGATCTTGCCCATCCCCAAATTCATGGAGTGGGGGCACCACCAGTAGTGGACTCAGCAGCACTCAGGGTGCTGTACGCCTGGACCTGCTGGTAAGACAGACACCAGACTGGACCCCTGCAACCCCTGAGGCAGGTGGGAAGGGCAATGCAGGGAGAGCAAGGTGTGCAGATGGCTGGGACTGGATAGATCCGGAGGCTAAGAGGACAGTTTCTTGGAAACATGTGTGAGAAATCAGGAAGGAGCTAGGTTCATGGGATGAGAGGCAGCACAGGAGGTACCATGAGAGCTGGCTTTGGGGTCTGGCCCCATGGGGTAAGGGGCACCTGCTAGGGTGTCCAGCCAGTGTGGGCTACAGAGTGGGCTCCAGCTGGAGAAGCTAGACAGGGGCATGTTACAGAGGCAGAATGGAAACAGAAGGAAGRCAGGCAGGGCAGGGGGCAGGCTGCATAGCTGCCAGCTTGGAGCCTCCCCTGCCATCTGGCAGATCCCCGGGTATGGTGTGGAGGGGGAGATGTCTGTTGTGGAGCTGCGAGAGCGACTGGCCCTGCTCAGAGACACCCAGAGGCGTGAGGAGGAGGAGAAGCGAGATCAAATCATCCAGGACAAGCGTACCAAGAGCCAGGAGCTACTGAACACATTGGAGCAGATCTCACTGTGCCGCAAGGCCATGGGGAAAACTGCGGCCATGAGGTAGGTACCTGAAACCCAGAAGGGTGCCTCCAGGTGCGCAAGGAACAGCAAGCCAGTTATTCCCCAGAGTGGGTCTCCTTGAAGCAGTCTCCACCCTCCTGCCAGGCAGGCTCCTTGCAGGAAATCCCTCCACATCTCCTAGTTTAGTGGATGATTCTCAGGTCTACAGAAATGGTGGGGATCATGCGGTGATGGCTTCCATGCCCATGACCTAAATAYAACCACTTTGTACCTAGGCCATGTGCACAACCTTCTGCCATATGTGCTTCATCTAACCAGCTAGCTATTTATTTGTCTGCACAGCCATTTGGAAGTAGTTGCAGGCATCAATCAGATGCTTCATTCCTGAAAAATATAGTATGCATCTTCTAAAAAAAGAAGAGTGTCCTACATAACCAAAGCACTGGCACAACCAGGAAAGGTAACAAAAAAATCCCAACATCTTTTAAATGACCCCTCTGTATTCACATTTTTCCAAGCATCCCAAGACTACTAAAACCTTTTAAAGATTGTTTGCTGTAATTTTTTTTTTTTTTACCCCAGGGTCTGGATCAAACACAGCATATGAATGTGCATGTATATGTGCATGTGTGCGCTCCCACGCACCACACACACACACACACACACACACACACACACACATACCTTTTTGCTTTTTGCTTCTGGGGACACTATGATGACTTTTTCCAGCCCCATGTGCTTGTCACTTGGCAACCCAGTCAGGCACAGGTAGGTATCTCCCCGTTCTAACCAGGGTCATGCTAGCCTTTGAATCTTGGCTTGGTCCCCCATGCCTCAATACCCTCACTATTACAGCAGAGCACACTGGACCCCAGAGTGGGAATGGGGTGGTGTGTGAAGACAGGTCTGATGGAGAAAAGARAAAAGAGTAATTCATTGTCACTGGGAGAAATCCATCACCCTTGGTCCTCTGAGCCACTTGCTGCTCTGGCTGCAATTCAGATAAAGCACATGCAACTAGGGACTGCTCAGGGAGGGCTGMAGGCCACAGCAGGTCCCACAGTGGTACACATCCTGGAAACTTCACCACTTCCCAGCTGCTGACCTGGTCCCAGCTGACCCCAAAAGCAGTTGTTAGAGTGTCTCCAAGGGCCCTACTCTGGATAACAAGTTTCTGGAGCCCTACCCCATGTGTGCAACCAGCCCCAACAGCAGTAATTCAGCAGGAGCATTTTTCTGGGGTGGGGRACAGGACAGTCAACAGGGAGTGTAGACATAGGAGTGAGAACCCACACATGCACTACACTGTGATGTGCAGTTACTGTCAACTCTGGCAGGGAATAAGACCTACTGATGAGACAGGGAAATTGTCTATGTGTGGAAACAGTGTGCAAGGACACACACCACAGAAATTAGCAATAGTCACCTCTAAGCACAAGGACCTCTAGGCACAAGAGAGTCAAGAAGAGAGTGAGATAAAAGGGGCTTTCGCATACTAACCCTCCCTCCAAACTCCAGGGGATTGAACCTGGAGGCGCTTTACCACTGTACTACATCCCTAGACTTTTTTTTTTTTTTAAATACCTTTATTTTATTTATTTTTATGTGGTGCTGAGGATCGAACCCAGGGCCTCACACGTGCCAAGCTAGCACTCTACCTCTGAGCCACAACCCCAGCCCATCCCTAGACTTTTTTATTTTATTTTATTTGTTTTTGTTGGTTCTGGGGATTGAACCCAGGGCCTTGTGCATCATTCAAGGCAAGCATTCTACCAATTGAGCTAAATCCAGCTCCCCTTTTTATATTTTGAGACCAAGTTACTGAGTCTGGCCTTGAATTTGTGATCGAACTGTCTCAGTCTCCCGTGTCGCTAGTATTACAGCCGTGCGCCACCACTCCCGGATGAATGTAATATTTTTTWAAAAAGAAATATAAAGGCAGCGATGCTGGCAGGACCCCAGGCCAACCCTGTGCAAGGTGACCCTGCCCCGGGCGGTGCCGGGTTTCAGACCGCCACTCCTAAACCCAATCTGTCGCTGGCCAGGTGGGAGCAGAAGAAAGCCCAGGCGGTGACSGGCGCGGCCTCCCAAGACGAGCGCGTGCTGGAGCTGCAGCGCAGGATCGAGGAGAGGGTGGCGGAACGCCGCCGGCAGGCGGCCTCGCTGCACCTGCAGGCGCCGCGGACTGAGCGCCGCCAGTCACGGGTGAGCTTCCGGGRAGCCAAGGCGAGCTCCGGCTTGGTCTCGGCCGCCGCCCTGGCGTGCCCTGCTCACGCCAACACCGCCCCCCGCCCGCAGGCGCAGCTGGAAGCGCAGCACTGGCTGGAGCTGGAGAGGAGCCGCGAGCGTAGGCTGCGGGCCCTGCAGCGCCGGGATTCGGCGATCGCACCGGCGCGCCGCCTGGAGGCTGCCTGAGCGGCGCGCCCTGCGCCCGGGCCGCCRTACCCGCCCCGTGACCCTAGACCTCCCTGACCCCCCGCGTGCTGCCCGCGACCACGCCCAGCCCTCTGTTCCCTAGCCCGCATCTGCGCGAGCGGTGCTGTGATAGAAAAGGCAGGCCGCCCAGTCACCAWGTGAAAGAAAACCAGTATCCGTTCTTTATTTGGAATTCAAATTTAACTTCCCACCTGCATTTTAATATGCTGAATTGGACCTCGGGCCCAGACCCTAGCCCTTCCTCAGGGCCCAGCAAGTCATCATTCCCAAGGCCCCCTTTATCCCCCTCCCCGCTCCAGAACATCAGCAGCACTGGAGTCCCCACCCGCTATCCAGACCCAGTGGCTTCACCTGAGAACCTAAGATCCTGTGTGCAGTTGTGCTGTGGTACCATTCTGGCCCTTCCCATGCCTTATCATGTAATCTGCAATTTTGGACACATAGAAACTCTGGCCCATTCTCATTTCATTGATGAGACCATTGGTGCTCAGAGAGGTGACCTGTCCAGCGAGCCAGACCCAGAGCTAAGCATGGGTGACTTTACAGAGTACTGAAGGAGCCCGGAATCAACAAGGTTGGGGCCACTGGGAAACAGGTGGTCCAGTGCAGGGACCAGGACTGATTTGTTGGCTGGAGAAGGGGGTGACCTTGAGAACAGGCCTATGGAGTAAGAGCCTCCTGGCCCTCTAGAACAGAGCACATCATGCTGCTGCTCACTAAAAGGATAGAATGTGGACAGTCCGTGGGGTGGGGTGCAGTAAGGGAGGGGCTAGAAACTCTCAGATGGATAAATATTCAGGAAAGGGACATACTTCCCCATTCTCCTTTGACCTGCAGAGCTGGTACCTCAGCAGTGGAGGCTGGGCCTCTGAGCACTTTCAGATCAGGAAAGCACACATCAGAAGTGACAAGAACAGACTTAAGGGTCAGAGTCCTACTCCAATATTCTGAATTGTATTAGAACTCCAGAACTTTCCCACAACCCAGGTTGGTAAAGAGAAATTCCCGGGGCTGGGGATGTGGCTCAAGCAGTAGCGCACTTGCCTGGCGTGCGTGCGGCCCGGGTTCAATCCTCAGCACCACATACCAACAAAGATGTTGTGTCCGCCGAGAACTAAGAAATAAATATTAAAAAAAAAAATTAAAAAAAAAAGAGAAATTCCCATCTCCCTGTTGAATCAGAGCTAAGAATAGATTAAATTTCATTTAATGAAAAAAAAATCTCTTTATATCCTGTGTTGTGCTATTCAAATCCATTTCATTTGATATTGARGGAATACCCTGATGATTGGTCCAGACAGTCAGACTTTCAGGAGCTCTGAAGGATTCAAAAGGATTTACCAGCTCCCCTAAGTGGCAAGCCAAAGGCAGATGGACTTCAGGACATGCCTGATGCAGGAGTTCTATCTCCAAGCTGGTAGCAGTTTGTTTCAGGAATGTTGAATATGTCTCCAGGCTTGAAGGAATTCCTGTTAAGCCAGCCTTCTGCAATGGGGGCAGGTCTGTATGGTTGCCTGCAGCAAGGCTGTGGCAAGGGAGGAAACTGTCCTTCACCTTCACCTATTAGGCTTGCCTCTGGGCAGAGCAGAGATATGGCAGACCAACACTGTGGATGCTCTTAGCAACAATGTTGATTGGCAGTCAGCAAGGTCCCCAACATAAATTGTGGATGCTTTGGCAACAATGTTGATTGGGTGTCAACTAGGTCCCCTCTCCAGTCCTGTTCTAAGAGCTAGCTTGTGGGAAACTGCTCCATTTACATGAGTGGGAGTAGGCCTGGGGTCATTCCCTAAAGCTGTGGCAGAATGTYTCCCTGTACCCATAACTCCTTGCCTTGTGACTTTACCATTCCCATCAAGAGGTGAAGTCTAGATTCCTCAATCTCTGAACCTAGTTTGGATTGGAGACTCACTTGGACCAAAAGAATGCAGCATAAGTAGCCTTGTGCCAGCTCAGAGCCTGGAACTAAAATGGTCTTGGAGGTTCCACTTGTTCACTTAGAAGCCTACCAGGCCCCAGTGAACCTGGGTGKCCTTTTGGGATAAGACAGCTGAAACTTGTGAAGGAGAGCCAGTTGTCCTGAGTCCATTCTAGATCATTCTGCAACCAGCAGACACTCCCACCCCATCTCCCACATGTGAGGGTGGCCAGGACCAGAATTCTACACTCCCAACTGAGCAACAATAAACACCTCTTGTTTAAAATATTGGGCTTTGGTGGCTTGTTTCAAAGCAACAGCTCCCTGATATGCACTCAAGAACCATCACAGTGGGGACTCCTACCTCCCTCTCCCTGCATGGGTCCTTTGAGATTCAAGTTTCCCAAGACAGGGGACCACCTAGAGGGWCATAAGATCCAGCTGTTGCTTCCAATGCTCTTTCTGGACCTTTCTTGGCTGAACCACCCAGAGAGCTGAGCTTTTGCCTGAATGCAGGCTAGCCAAAAAACACTCACAATAAGGCTCTTTTGAACATACAGAGATTCAGTAGCTGATCTGGGTGTTTTAGGACAACAAGGACAAGATCAGTGGTTTTGTTTGTCTTGATTCTAAATCCATTCCCAAATTCAGAGCTCAAGAAACCCTCTTCATTCTCTATTTGATTCTGGCAGGTCATCCCAAGCAGGGGCTTGCATGCACTCGGGCAGGGCTGCTGAATCCAACCTTCTACATTCTTCTTCWGAAGTAGGTACAATTACTATCTCCATATAAGAGGTGAGGGAACTTCTGAGACTTGCCCCAACGATGGAGCTGCTTTTCAAACTTAAGCAGGGGGATCCAGGGACAGCACTCTATGGACACTTGGAGTCTACTAGATGCCCCTGAGACCTCCTGTCCTCTGCCTGGACCTTGGCCCTTTCCTAGGCCCATCCTGGGGAAGAATGCTTTTCCCTTCACTCTTCCTTTTCTGGTACCCCTTGCCCACAAGATTGTCCGGACTTGGCACCTGGGCCCTCCCAGACTGATTCTTGCCCCCCCTCCCCGTGCTCCTGACACACTGGGGCACCAGTCTTCGGTCTCCCGGGAATGCCCAGCTCTCCCCACTCCTTTCCCAGGCTCTGGGGACAGCTCTCTTGCTGGAACGCTCTCCCCTTCCCTCCTCGTCCTTCAGTCCTCGGCTAGGGGTCGCCTCCTCTGGGCAGCCCTCTCCGACGTCCAAGCCGAAGATCCTCTGGCTCCAGCGGATGGGACGAGCTGTTCTTCCCAGGGACTCTTCCTCCAGTCTGGAAGAGCCGGGAACAACACACTCAGGGCCTGGCACGACAGATTCAAGCCCAGTTTCAGCAGAGGGTCGCAGACCTTGGGCCGCGGGGGCATTTGTTACAAAGGTCTAGTTAACAGGCGAGGAAAGAGGCCCGGACAGGTGCGTGAATTGGCTGGCGGGGACTAAACTCCAGTCCACGTTATCGGCCGGGTCTCACCAGGGACACAACGGCAGGTGAGCCAGGAAGCAGAAGAATCTGAGCCCGCTCGCTCTGGAGACAGCGCCCCGCCTCTAAGGAGCAACAACGCAGTGGGCGCCTCCGACACAACTCCCAGGAGGTCTTGCGGGCGTAGCGGCGCCGGCGCCACTCTCGCGGGAACTGGGACCTTGGGCGCGCAAGCGTGGGTGGGGCCGGAAGGAGGCGCCGTTCAAAGCGGTAATAGATGGTTTTCTCATCCAATAGAATTGAAAATACACCTCCTTAACCGGTAGACCGCGGTAGTAGGGGCGGGGGTGACCAATGGGGACTTTGGGGGGCGGGGCCTACGCCTGAGGAGCGGAAGTGGGTTGCTTTGAGACGGCGGAGTCCTGCTTGAGCGGGTCTCCTTATCGGCTTGCGAAGATTCTTCCTCACTCTAGTGTGTTGGCGGCGGCGCCTGCCGGACCAGCCGAACCCTGGGTAAGTCTAGGCTTCGCGGGTAGGTAGTGGCACGTCAGGGCCGGGCACATGCGGGGCTCAGGCGGCTTTGCGGCCTGCAGAGGCGTCGGCGCCGGCCCTGCGTGCCTCGGCCCCGCTCGGGYCCCACAGCCCCGGCCGACCTCTCCGGGGCCTCGGGCCAGCTCCGCACGCCCCGCCCAGTCGTCCGCGTGAGTGCCCGAGCCGGCCCAGCGCGGGCGTCGGAAGTTGGGAGCCTCGGTCTGGGGATCGTCTCGGCCCGGCAGGCCGACCGCGGAGCTTCGTCCGGAACCTAGGAAGGGAAACTGAGGCTTGGGGAGGGGAGGGACGCGCCAAGGTCAATCGGAGAGGCGGGCGGGCGGGCCGGCTGTTCGCGGGGAAACCTGGGCGAGGTTTTTGTTTGCCGATGACGACTCTTCCTTTGTGTGCTCGCGCTGCCGCCCGCCGTCGTGGGCCTGCGAGTTGACCTGGGCGCATGGCGGGGCCTCTGTGGGCCCCTAGAGTGCCCCGGAGAGGAGGTCCTCAGCCTCCGGGAGCGCTTCCCKGCCCGCCGGTGGTCGGAAGAGCGTGCGACTGTTAGGCCTGCGGCCCCGTGCGCGCCTCGGCCCGTCCCCTCCCTGGCGCGCCTGCCCACGGGTGTATGAAAGTCAGATTTTAAGACCTGAAACGCTATTCCCCGTGAGCATCCCTTGTTCACCGTTGGACCCTTTGAGGGAGGAGGGAAGAGGACAGAGTTAGGGCGAGCAGTTTTGTGGGTGTTTCAGTTTTTTTTTTTTTAATCCTAGTCGGTGCTCACAGACGTTTAGTTTTCATTTCGTTCTGGTTCTGCATCAGGTTCCGGAGCCAGACCTAGGGCCTCATCTCCTCAACCTTGGAGCCCAGCTTAAGCTCCCCAAGTGGTTGGGGAGACTGAGGCCCAGAAAGGTGAGATGATCTGCCCAAGGTCACACAGCCAGCTGCTTGGCAGTAGACTGGGTCTGGTTCCTCATAGTATTGACTTTGATTTTTCACATGATGTTTTTTTTTTTTTTTAATGTATGGAGAGACCTTGGGTACAATTTTAAATGATTTTGAGATGAAATGGGGACATGTGAGTGGAAAGACTATTGCTGTTGTTGGCTTTGTATTTGAACTTGAGCTTCCAACATTGATTCCAAAATGTTGCTTTAATATAGTCTTTATCCACTTTTTCTTAAATTATTATCCCTGAAAGGAGTGGTTTCAGTTTTCCTATTYACACCTGTGAGATTTCAATGTGACATACTGTAGGTGTTTTTACCAACTGTGTGTATATTTGTGCTTTATACATAAAGTAAGGGGTTTTTACTCTTTGAGAATTCATGCATTAATGCTCTGAGTTAGCACTATTTTGAGGTCTTTTGTGTGCAGAGCTTTCTGCTTGGAGTACAGCAGTGAACAACATAGGTCTAGTGACAGTCTTTCTGAAGCTGAGAGTGTAGGAAATGGAAGTTCTTGCAGGTGAAATATAGATGATATAAGAAGTGTGACAAGATGTGGAATTGGGAAGGCAAGCAGGAATCAGATGTGAAAAGTGTCTGGTGTGGTAGTTTGTTCTATGGCAAAGAGGAATTTATCTTCTGTTGCCTGCATGGTTGGGTTGAGTTTTAAACTGGGAAGTAATACAGGTAGAAATATATTTAAGAAAAATTACTACTGAAGCTGGACAAGACACGTGGTTTTGTAGCCAGGTCCTGGTGCAGGCCTGCAATCCCAGGTACATGGGAGGCTAAAGCTGGAGAATCACTTGAGCCCAGGAGTTAAGAGGCCAGCCTGGACAGTGTAACAAGATCTTTGTCTTTAAAAATAATAATAAATAAATAAATAAATAAAGGTCTTGGGACCAGTTAGAAAGACAGAATTTGGGGTGACTGTCACTGTGGAAGTTCTTCACTAGGTTTGTTTATTTGGTTTTTATACTGGGGATTGAATCCAGGGGTATTTTGCCACTGAGCCACATCCCCAGCCCTTTTCATTTATTTGAGACAGGATCTCACTAAGTTGCTTAGGGCCTTACTAAATAGCTGAGGCTGGCCTTGAACTTGCTATCCTGCTTCAGCTTCCTGAGTGGATGGTATTACAGGCATGTGACCCTACTCCAGCTTTCACTTGTTAGCAAGGGCTGGAGATACAGCTTCATTGGTAGAGTGTTTGCCTCACATGCATAAGGCCTGGCTTCGATCCTAGCACCACCAAAAAAAAAAAAAAAAAAGTTTGTTAGCAAAGCCCATATATATGGCCTGTATCTGAACCCTACCAATGTCCGGAAAAGATTTGGGATGCTACTCGGTAAGAAAAAAAAAAATATGTGCACAAGGGCTGGGGTTGTGGCTCAGGGGTAAAGCGCTTCTTAGCATGTGGGAGGCCCTGGGTTTGATCCTCAGCACCACATAAAAATAAATAAAACCAAAGGTATTATGTCCAACTACAACTAAAACAATTTTTTAAAAAATGTGTACAAAAGTAATTAGTCCATGTGCTATATTTTCAGAAAGTTGATTCTCAATGCCTACATTGTATTCTCAAAGAATCTATTTGTTGTTCCTGTGTTTCCCCCTCCTCCCATTTCAGGAGGTAATTTTAGGGCCTGGATGTTCCCTACCTGCTTCACCTCTTTTCTGTTGCTGTTTGGCATGGCAGTTTTCTTTGTAACCTTTATTAAAATTTGCCTCCTTTCTCAGCACCTTGTTGATGTCTGTTCTGGCTTCTTACTCTTACAAGTTAAAGATGTCTCAGGTAGAGGTATTTTCTCCTAATCTCTCTTAATGATATCTGTGTTTAAGTCTCCTTTTGTTTCTTGATGGTGACTGTATATGTTTTTGGTACCTGGGATTGAACTCTGAGCCACCTCCTCAGCCCTATTTTTTATTTATTTAGAGACAGGGTCTGAGTTGTTGAGGGCCTCAGTCCTCCTGTCTTAGCCTCCCAAGCTGCTGGAATTATAGGCGTTCACCACGGCACCTGGCTGTGGCTTTTTTTTTTTTTTTTTTTGTGGTAGTAGTGCTGAAGATCGAACCCAGTGCCTCACACTTGGGAGGCAAGCACTCTACCTCTGAGCCACAACCCCAGCCCTGCGACTGTATTTTTACTTGGGCTATAAGGCTRTATTTTCCCCATCTTTGAAAAAAAWTTTTTTTTCCTCTCACAACACCCTTCCTGTTTCCAATTATGTGCCATCTCTTTCAAGCATCTAATGATTTTGATAATTTAATTGGTTATAAATTCAATGGGAAAAAATCTTATTTAGATTCTGTGCCAAGTGCTGAGGGAACTCCTGGTAAGTATTAAATTTAGAGTTATGTGTGTCGAATTAAGGGAGGACGGAAAAAGAAATAGGGAAATTAGGACTGGGAAGAGAGAGAGAAGTAACTTTTGAGGTAGTCCTTGAGGGTGGATAGAAATTCCCTGGAGTGGCAGGACCCTTCTTGCCACTATATCAAATTATGTCATTCTGACAGGAAAGATCTAGAATACAGGTGCCTGATATTCAGGGTATCTGGGGTAAAAGGACACATGTCTATAACTGCAAATGGAGTCAGACAGTGAGAGGTGGGGAGTGAGGAGTGGCTTTATGATCTGAAGGACATACTCTGTGGGCAGTAGTTGTGATCTTTGGGAGCCCTTGCAGTATTAGATCTTTTGGAACCTGATGACTTTTGAGTTTTCTTGTGAAGGTTAACTTCCTCAGGCCCATTTAATGTTCTTTCTTATGCTCTTTGTTTACCCTAGGGGCCAATCACCATTGACTTGCTTTCCTTCTTTTTTGTTCTTTTTAGATACACATGACCGTAGAATGTAATTTTTWAAAAAAWTTTTTTAGTTGTAGATGGACCCAATATCTTTGTTTATTTTTAATGTGGTGCTGAGATTCAAACCCAGTGCCTCATGTATGCAAGGCAAGTGATCTACCACTGAGCTACAATCCCAGTCACCATTTTATTTTGACCGAGTTTATTTTGACATGTTGCACAGATATAGATTATGGTTTATTCTAATTCTGTTCTTGGGGTTGTACATGATGTGGACCTAACTTTGGTTGTGTATTCATATACAAGGATAGGAAAGTTATGTCTAATTAATTCTACTCTTTTTTTAGAGAGAGAGAATTTTTTAATATTTATTTTTCAGTTTTCGGCGGACACAACATCTTTATTTTATCTTTATGTGATGCTGAGGATCGAAAATCGAACCCAGCATGCCAGGCGAGTGCATCACTGCTTGAGCCACATCCCTATCTGCTGTCTTTTCTATTCCCCTCCCTGCTCCCTTCCCTTCATTCCCTTTTGTCCAATCCAGTGGACTTCTGTTCTTTCCCTCCCCACCCTCCCTTGTGGGTTAGCATCCACATATCAGAGAGAACATTTGGCCTCTGGTTTTTTGGGACTGGCTTATTTCATTTAGCGTGATATTTTCCAATTCCATCCTTTTAAAAAAAAATATTCTTAAGTTTTAGGTGGACACAGTATCTTCATTTTACATTTATGTGGTGCTGAGGGTGGAACCCAGTGCCTCATGTATGCTAGGTGAGCACTCTACCACTGAACCACAACACCAGCCCCAATATTCTATCTTTGTATACCACAATAGTCTGTTGTGTATATATGCCTCATTTTCTTTATCCATTGATCTGCTGAAGGGCACCTAGGTTGGTTCTATAGCTTAGGTATTGTGAGTTGAGCTGTGTCACTGTAATATGCTGATTTCAAGTTCTGTGAATATAAACCAAGCAGTGGTAAAACTGGGGTCAAATGTTTTCATTGCTAGTTTTCTTTTTTTTTT